TGAGAGTTCGAGAGGGCTAAACATAGGAGCCCCTACCATAGATATTTTATCACTTATGATTATTTTAAATCGATAAGTCTGTAATACAATGAATTAACTGTGTCATTGCTAAGTGGCCTCAACTCTCTATTCAACTGATTAAAAGGTAAAGAGAATATTGATTAAGGGTCATTCCGCCTATTCCGAATGCTGTTTTACCCGTTAGTGCGCAAAGAAGAACATTTAAGTAACTTGGATTGAATCCAGGTGTAGAATTGTAACGACGGTTAAGAGCTTGATATATTGCAGATATCAAACGACTCTTTCCTACACCTGCACCGCCGCCAATGAACTCATAAAATGGGCGACTTGGTTTTAGCTGGTGCGTCAAATGTGTCAAATAGGTTCTTTGCTTAGTATTTAGACTTTGAACTAAAGAAAACAATTCCTCAACTGGAATTAAAGGGGGTAGTTTAATAAGTCTAATATTGCAATCAGACTCAGTGCCATTATCTGTTCAATCTTCACCATGAAATTCCAGCAAATTTATATTTGGGTTTATTTCTGGAAGTGCCAACACTCTGAACTCATTTGCCACGATAGGTTTTTAATTATGTGCACCTTGCTCTAAGTCTGTTTCATTATAAAGACTTTCTAGAACATTTTCAAGTTCTCTTTGCTCAAAAACATCATATTTTCTTTGACTTTCCTCAATTAGAATACGATGTGTTATGCAAGTCTGCTCACTATCGTTTTCAATGAGATATTGCTGTTCATTCCGCCATGGATAGTAAAGCATTACCATTTCGCTGAAATTCTCAACTCTGGCCAAATCTGGGTTGTACCGATTATACAAGGTTTGGTACGATTTTTAACAAAACCGCAGCCGTCTTTAAGAGGCATTATCACACCGCTTTCTGGTAAATTATCGTCTTCCCTCTATTTTTTTCTTCGTCATCACTGTCTTGTGCTCTTCTACTAGATGTAATTGATCCGATCTTTGTATATAACATTCTAAAATACCAGCTACGAATATTTCAATCGAACATGAAGGAAGATTCTGAAGTTCGGCTCTAGGTTTCCAGCACTTACCTCTGATATAGCTTCATTTAAGAGCCTAGAAATTCCCTGTTAGACTTATTAATATAATTATGCATCCAGTATATATTGGATGTCCATATTTGCTATATGGAGTTCCAAAATCAGAGGATTATAAGCGTTTATAAAACGATCCTGTAATTTTCTTTTTATCATCATCAAAAGACATATTTATTCTACTATTAGACAAGAAATATTCAAATCGTTTAAAGTAAAAATGTCTTCTGAAAAAGTTTTCCTTGTGTCTTTTTGAATTTTGACTTGTTTCTGTAATTGTATTTGCTTTGTAGGCATTGGTGGATATGGTATACCAAAACGACAAAGCTGTTGTCCTCTTATTTCTCTAATACAAGACGGACTGTGGTTATGCTTTTGATAACCCAAATAATTTTCTTAGTAGTTGAACGAAATGTAGAAATATAATTGTCAATAAAACTAATACATCAGAGAGTGTCTGAGGATCTTGAAGGTTGATCCTGGGATCATTATTAAGCCAATACATGCCATGTACATGCGGGGAACCTCTCTGTTGAAACTCCACTCTCCAGTAGTAGTGAAATTTGTGACATAATGCTCAACAAAAATGCTGGCGTTATCTTCAAAAAGCTTAGGAATTTGTCGATAGCAGTAGTCAAAATATCTAGCACAAGTAACTGTGTCTGACCGAATTAAGCGGAATCTATCTTGGGTTGTTAAACTCTTGTCTTCCTCTTCCGAAATATCTTTAGAATCAACATTTTTAGAGAGGATGACTAAACGCACAACCCAATGAGATTCTGCAGCCGACAAAGTGATAAAGAAGGTTGGAAGCCCAAATGTGCGAATCATAGCGATTGCCTTTTTCTTCTCAGCTTTCCAGTGTGCAGGAGAGAATCCAATGCCTTTCAAAACCTGTAATCATCATCGTGTTGAATCAAATTTTGAACAAACTTCTGAAGGTAAAAGAACCGTGGGAATATTATTACTGAAGTATTAACATGAGAAGTTTGTTCCGCATGAAAAGATTAAACCAATCGGGAATCGTCTGCAAATGCAATAAACGGAACTCCTTCTTGGTCATTAAATTCTGAAATTCAGTTCTCATTAATGTGTATTTTGTTCTCACGATACAGTGGGGTATTCATTAAAAATTGCAAAGCTTCCATAATCTTTGCGGGGCGTATGGTATCGATCATGTAATCATGATTGTATTCCAAACGCTTTCTTAAGTGAATTTGTATCACATGAGCCTCATCAAAGGATCTTGATAGAGATGTTACAATGTTGTTAACAGAAATTGGTTTAACAACAGCACCTTTGAGAGAACTCTGACCTTGATATCCTAACGGACTGATTGTCATAAAAGGCAATCTAGGCATTATGAGACGTCTTCAATTGCGGTTAAACCTTTCAAACAATCCTGTATTTCAGGAAAGTCTAGACCGTTAGTTAATCATATTTTTGGAACGTTCTTTTTATCAATCGCATTTTTGCAAGCAGCACAAAAATTGTAATTTCCATCTTCCGAAGGAAATTTTTGCATTAAAAAGAAGGCGGATGCAGCAGTTGGGTGACCGTGCGCAATAGTTTCGAAATTTAATTTGCGAACTTGGTGTCAAAACCATAATCCGCCGCAGCAAATACATATTTCAGTAGGGCCCTTCTTTATATTTTGTAAATAAATGTTTTTGAAATCTGTTTAATTGCCACTATTATCAGTCTCGTTAACATTATTTTCATTCGTTAATCGTATTCGATGGGACTGCCATTCGTTTTCAATTTGCCTATTGACCGGGTTAAAATTTCTTTTGTAGTTACCTCTGGTGAAGCTATACTATAGAGTATACTGGAAAGTTTAAGAGTCATATGGAACTTAAAATTGTGCTATATGGAAAGTAGGCTTGATAGTAGTCCGATTTGACCCATTTTCGTAATGTAACATATGATATATACCGAATTCGGTCGAAATTAGTGAAGTAGGTCCCGAGATATGGGTTTTCACCTAAATGTCGTCCAATTTTGACATCGGCTCCTATAGAACCCCCTTGTACCATCCCAGATGTAAAATTTAATATCTCTGACCATTAGTAATTTATCGCAGTTTAAGACATTTTTAACAAAACCGTTATTTAGAGAGTGGGCGTTATCACCTAACGCGGGCCATGCCCACTTTTTTAATTTTTTTCAAACATAGATACCCTCCCCAATGCAATTCTCCATACCAAACTATAGTTTAATATCTAAATTTCGTGCTTAGTTATGGAATTTTATAGCTTTTCGATTAAAGGCGTTTTGTGGAAAAGGAAGTGGTCCGATTATGCTCATCTACAATACCAAACTTCTTATGGTGCCAAGAAACCTATGTTCATTTAACTAACGCTTACCATACCTTTTTAACTTTAGATAACACTGCACAAAATAAAGAAAGCTAATTAAAAATCAATTTCAAATATTTTATTCTTTTTTTTTTGTCTTCAATAACTTTGGCAATTATTTATCCTTTTCCTCGAAGATCGACTACTCGTATATGACCATCGGCGCCTTTTCGGACGTTTTCCATCGGTATCTCAAACTGTTTCTCTGTGGTTCTTTGATAAATGTTTTGGCATTGTCGCTCATAGGTTTTGACGGAAAACTGCGTCGTCTGACGAAGCGCGCAAATGCCGCGAGAAAAGCCTCCTTTGTCAGATTCATACATAGCTCTAGGTGCACCGCTTTTGTCGTAAACAAAACAAAACCCGCCACATAGCCTTTCATTAGGGTAGGGGACTTTAGCAGGGACGCCTTTATCTGAAAAGGCCCAGCAAAACCGACATCTGTAATAGTGAAAGGCAGAGCAAAGTTCTAGTGTTCCGGTGGAAGTGCTGCCATAGTCTGCGTTCGCATCTTCTGCTTATGTATAGTGCAGATCTTGCCCTAGGAAGTGTATTTTTTTATTTGGGGCTTAAGTCGGGGAACTCTTGGCGGACTATATGTTCCATTACCAACCAAGTTCGGTAGGTAACAGTAACCTGACATTCTTACCATATAGTGCGAAAATGGACGAAATCAGATAAAAACCAGGCTTCCTCCATATAACACAATTTTAAATTCAATCGGATTCTTTCACTTTCCTGTATACAAATACATATATGAACTAAAATTGTCCAAGACCAAGGACCAAAACTCTTCAAGCCCCCATATACCAAATATGTGGACACTCTTCACCTAATGCAAAAAAATTAAAATTAAAATAAAGAAAATAAACATAATGCAAGAAAATGTATCGTATCTTAGTTATAGCTGCAAACCAGATTAAAATAATAAATAATTTGAAGGAGAAAAATAAGTATTTCAAATTAGCAATACAGGCATTGAAAAGGAGGAAATTATATAAAAGGATTGCTTTAAAGAACAGAAATTTGAAACGATACCGATCGTGTACTAGTATTTGGTAAGTACACAAAGACTAGTTTTCAATGTATAAGGAATTTTTGAATTCATAGGTGGAACTGGCTAAACTTTTTCGGCCCTAAATTTACAATATGTAGTGATTTCCGACCTTTTATCTGACTTTAAATCAGACTTAAACTTATAAAACTAATTGAGTCTATGACCTATAATATAAATTAGTAAGATACAAATATGATTTTAATCCATTCACGATGTCGTCAATAAAATAATGTTGATTACTTTCGCAACATTTTTTAAAATATAGTTTTGCCAACACCTGAAGATATTTTCCGGCTTTGATCCTTGCAAGTTGTGAAATGTTCGGTTGTACCCTATCTTAGCCCTTTCTTACTTGTTTAATATAAAGTCAAAATATTTCCCCGTCCTTGGCCCTTGCAAAAAGTGATAGTATTAAATGTTCGGTTACACCCGAACTTAGCTTTTCCTAACGTTTTATAACTGATCTCTATCAAAAACTTGATTTTAAGGAATTTAAAACTTTTTTCTTTCAGTTTTAAATCACCGCGCCGAATTTGTTTTCTCACCTTTTCTATCACTTAGTATGGTACTAAGCATTGCAATCTGCGTAGCAATTTTGGCAATAATATTTTCTCTACGTACAACATGTAAAAATTCAAGGCAAATAATAAAAGAATTTTCGCATGAACACAATTTATGGGAGGTTTCGAGTCGAAGTTCAGCAAGTAAAGAAATGGACATAAACGAAAGTGATGAAAGAAACCCAGATGTTATCCCTGAGCTACTCGATATCGATAAACAGGTATTCTCAAAACCAATTTATATGATTGAAGTAAGTTTTTAAAATTACCTTTAAAATAAACTTTTGTACACATACCTGATTACTGACAAAATCAAAAATCTTAAATATTTTAATTAACTAAATATTTATAAAAACAAGAAAAAACGTTAACTTCGGTTACACCGAAGCTATAATAGCCTTCACAAATACAAAGGTTCCTTACAAGAACTTGATTCCGATCTAATTTCGTGAAGATACCTCGTCAAATAAAAAAGTTTTCCATACAAGCGCTTTATTTCGATCGCTCAGGTAATATGGCAGCTATATGCTATAGTCATCCGATCTATACAATTTCTTCGGAGATTGCATTATTGTCTTAAGAAATAATCAATTCCAAATTTCGTGAAGATACCTCGTCAATTGAAAAGCTTTTTCATGAAAGCACTTTACTCCGATCGTTCAGTTAATATGTCAGCTGTATGCTATAGTGATCCGATCTAAGCAATTTCTCGGAGATTATATTGTTGCTTTATAATACAACTCATGCCAAATTTCGTGAATATATTACGTCAAATAAAAAAGTTTTCATACAAGCATTTGATTCCGATTGTTCAGTTTCCAAATTATTTGATTTGAATAAATCGAGGCACAGCATCAACTGGTGTGCCTTGTTTGCGGGGCATCTATTTTTATGATTGAGCCTATGGAAAATAGCTGATTCATTTTGCAAATAAAACCAAAAAAAATAACATTTACGAAAAGTGTATAAAGAGTGAGAAAATGGAAGCCGAATTGTTTTCATCCCTACTCCGTGATGTTAGCTGGTTGAGAAGTGAAAACGGGACACACCTGGCGGAGATAACTGATTGGTTGATATAATATAACTATACGAGAAAATTATACAACTATTATTATATTCGATTGCTATCTTGTGTTTTGCCGCAAAGCGTTCAGAACTCCCCATTCCGAGATCAAGGGAGCAATTTTAACGATACATGGTTCACATATCCAAGCAAATTTTTTAAAGTAGATTTCCCTTTATTTCCCTATATTTTCCATACTGAAAATAAGAAAGCGAAGGTGAAATATAAAAAGTTATTTGTTCTATGACAATAGCTTCAATAATTGTAGATATTGATAAGAGTTTCGCAGTCCCCTATGTTTTCTTATAGTTTTCAATGGATGACCTCAATCCACTTTTATGCAAAGGTATTATACTATTAATGGCCGTTTCCATATTGAAGGAAATACCATACATAACCTTGTTTAAGAGAGAAATTAAATATTTTTGTCAACGGCAAGTATAACATGGTATATATTTGAGACAATTTTTAAGGAGACATGAGGGTATCATATCTAATTATGCAATTATAATAACTTGTTTAGGTCCGAATATTGTCGACTCAATGCTAAATATATAGAATAGTCAACCAGTATGTTTTAATTTTATTAACGCTGTCGAGAACCACTGATTTGTACTTTTACTTTTAGAACGAGGACTTTATCAGATCGGGTAGAAAAATGTACTGCAAGTAGAAATCCTTCTTTGATTATGTTTAGTCGATCACATCTGAATATTTGAAATTGGCTCTTTAATATCTCATTATCAAAAGTGTGAGGTTTCAACCATGTTTGTGTAAAAGTAATTATATTAAAATTATAACAAGTACCGTGTAAAAACAATTCAGTGGACTTTGTGTTAAGACTTCTAACATTTTGACAATAAATACACAGCAAACTTCCATCACTCAGTTATTATTTCCGCGGATTTTTCGGTATTTTAATGACTTTTTCCCGTAAAAATGCAACTTGTGACCAGAATGCGCTATCTAAAAGAATTTGAAATTTTTCGAGAGAGCTGTCTATTTTAAAAGATGATATCCTTTTATCTTTATTGAAGATAATCTTACGACTTTGAATATTATCTCTCTCTTCTGAACTGGATGAACGTTTCATCTAATGGAAGTTTACGTTTGGAGGATTCGTGGAAATCATTTAGGCATTTAAAGGGTTTCAACAATTATCTATAATGCTCAAATTTTTCAGAGAAGGTTTGAAGTTTTGATCCATGTCTATGAAGCCATTGCGTCTGAAATAGATTTATTTCATTCGATTTACATTTTAAGAATGACCAACTCAGTCCCTTACCATCTAAGATTATATCTTTGAATCCAGCATGAAACAAAGCGATCAGATTCTATTTGAGTATTACAATTACAAGCCGTGAAAATAAAACAACAAAAATTGAAAAAATTAAATATCAAACAATAAGTCAAACAAAATCGAATATGTAAAATAATGGTAATTAGTGCAATAATATAATAATAATAATTACGATTAAAAAATTTACGCAATAAAATTAGCAATTGTTAATACAACATGTATACGCAATAACTAATTGCAATGATAATAAATGCAGCAACAACGTACAAGTTGAAAGATAACTGGCACAAAATAGCATTTAAAGCATCAATACTTAGCTCTCAAATAATCCCGCACTAAATTAATGATAAAAATTGCTTAAAATAAATCTTTTAGAACATTTTTACAGTTTTGAACCAGAACTTGTATTCATAACAATGTCTCGTGTGTTCCAAGACCTTCTCTGAGCTAAATAGCGCCTTGTCCATTAGTTCTTCACACTTAAGATTATTCTGGCGTGAATGATTTTAAGAAATATCTCAAGTATCAACATTGGACTAATTTGTCTGCATTCACTCCAGTGCTTCCCATACTAGCCCCCATATAATATAATATAATATAAATATTTTTGAACTTCCGTAATGTAAGAAAGTTTAATGAAATTCAGAAATAATTCCTTTTTAATAATAGTGTATCCTCTTGCCTAAAATGGATGAAATCAGGACAATACTTCTTTAGTTCAATATAATTGACAATTACAGCATCTGAAAGAATTTCCCCGCCTTTGATCTTTCCAAATTGTGAGAGTATAGAATGGGCGGTTACACCCGAGCTTAGCCCTTACATACTTGGTATTTTTATATTCGAGACATTTTCTGTTCTGTTCAGTTTTGTTTTAAGTTTATTTTTAAATTACATCTAGTCTGAGAGAAAATTTCGCCACTAAACCCGCTCCTGGATATGGGGTGACCTTTTTACTGAAGAGCAGAGAAGAGATTGTTGATCAGAATGTAATCGATTTGATTTCTGATGGTGTTTCACGTATAAAGCCTTCTAGGAAACGAGCTACATAATGCGTTCGATACTATAAGCTATGCTCTTGACTGAACTAATCGATCTCTTCTCTCATTTCTACGGCCTAAGCTGAGTTGGCAGCGATTTATTCGATCTTTTCTCTTCTGGCTTAAGCATTAAATTCAGTTTTAATTATATTTATTACATGTGTGGTTAAATGAGCTAAGCCTATCCTTCGCATACTTTACCAATTATATTCATCCATCGACATCGCTTCGGATCTTTTTGTCTGATTCTATTCGAACATATTCGGACTTATCTGTATACATGCAGCATGCTTCTTTAATAAATAGCGCTACCTTGATGTCAAATAATGCAGATTCATTATTCGTTTTAGGAGATTTCAATTTACCGTGTGTTTCGTGGAAAGGTTTCGATGACTATAACGTCATGTTTTAATGAGTTTTTTGAAAAAATGTCCTAGTTGGGTCTGAACCAAATAAAATTTGATTCCAAATAAATTTGGTAAATACTTAGATTTAGTATACGTTGATACCTCTTCGAAGTGTTCCATTATTCAGAGTAATCCTCTTGTTCTAGCAGAGGACTCGTATCATCCTGTTTTGGAAATATCTGTCGAAATCATGGGCATACACGGGATAGTAATCATCAAACTTCTATCTTCTGTACTCGGTTTAACTTTGCAAAAACTAGTTTTAAAAAGTTAAATAGAGAACTTTCTACAATAACATGGCCTAATTATAATATCAACATTATAATTGAATGTCTTGCATTTTAATAACATGATTACGAAATTATTTGAAAAGTATGTTCCAATAGTAATTGTTAGTAAAAGTAAAAGTACAACTCCGTGGTTTTCGAAAGAGTTATATAAATTGAAAAACTCGAGCCTTTAAACATTTTAAAAATACCGATTCACTGGTCGGCTATTTAAATATTCTATATTGCGTCGACAATATTTTGACCTTAACAAAAATGTTATAATAACTACTTAAATAAAGTTAAAAAGAATATTGTAATTAATCCAAAATCGTTTTATGATTTCGTCAACTCCAAGCGCAGGATTTCCAAATTTCCGTCCGCGATGAAATACAAATCTATTATTTCAAGTGATAATGATATTATATCCAATATGTTTTATATTTCTTAAATGGGTAGCTTCTTATCTTTATAATAGAACACAACGTGTGATATTTGAGGATACTCCTTCAGATACAATTAATGCCTCTTCAGGTGTTCCGCAAGGAAGTCATCTTGGCCCGATTCTGTTCTTGTTGTTTATTAACAATATCTCCTCAGTAATAGAATTCTCAAAAATTTTATTATACGCTGACGGTGTAAAGCTTTTTAAATCATACACGTCAACGGAGAAAAGGTGTCTGTTGCAAGCAGACTTAAACAATTTGGTTGCATGGTGTGATAGAAATGATTTGCCATTGAATCTTAATAAATGTAAGACGATGTGCTTTTCCGGTAGATCTGTGCACCCCTCTCCTTATATTATATAATACAGCACCATAGTCTAGAGCAAGTTTTTAACTATGTTGATTCGGGAGTTAATATGGACCCTAAGCATCCGATGGGATTCTGGGGTAAGTCTACCTCCATACACTAGTCGTTTAAAACTTATAAATCTACCTACACTTTCTAGTCGTAGCGAAATGCTTGGCATAATATTAGGTAAAGTAAAAAGTTCGTTCGGTTTTTTATTGATTTTTCAAAAGATGATAACTTTGTGTGCATTTGTCCGATTTCAGTCAAATATGCGACGTTTTGTTCGTAAACTTGTTGCCAACGAGATGCCAACTTCATTATACCCCTCTCGTAGAAGACTGCGTCCCTAATGCCAAAACACTCGGAGAGCCAATTTTCACAGGCCTCTCTTGAGGCCAACTTCTCACCATTAAGCGCGTTCGGCATGGACAGGAAAAGATGGTAATCACTTGGTGAAAGGTCCGGACTATAAGGTGGGTGCATTAGAACCTCCCATTCGAGCTTAAGGAGCTTCTGGCGAGTCACCAAAAACGTGTGTGGCCTGGCGTTGTCCTGATGGAACACAATTCGGCCTCTGTTGATCAAAGATGGCCTCTTCTGGATGAGTGCTGCTTTCAAGCGGTCCAGTTGTTGGCAGTAGAGGGCCGAATTGAGCGTTTGGTCATAGGGGAGCAGCTCGCAGTAGATGATTCCTTGCCCATCCCACCAAACACACAGCAAAACCTTCCTGGCCGTCAATCAGGTCTTGGCCACCGTCTGGGCCGCTTCCCCGAGCTTTGACCACGACCGTTTGCGCTCGATGTTGTCATAAGTGACCCATTTTTCATCGCCAGTCACAATCCGCTTCAAAAACGGGTCGATTTTGTTGCGATTCTGCAGCGATTTGCAGATGGAAATTCGGTCCATCATGTTTTTTGCGTCAGTTCGTGTGACACCCAAACATCGAGCTCCGTTTTGAATCCAAGGTTATGCAAATGGCTCCAAACGGTTTTCTGGCTTATCTTTAGTTCCTCAGCAATTAAATGGTGCATGTTTAACATCGAAATTACCGGAATGGAACCTAGCAAATCACTTTTGTGCTACACGTTCGTTTACAGTGTCGGGCCCATAAACTAAATTAATGTTTTCAGCCGCTTTGGCTGCTTTTTCGCTTTGATCGAAGAAAAACTGTAAAATATAGCGAATTTTCTCTTTGTTGGTGTCCATCTTTGACGAGCGCTCACAACGAACTCTTATATATAATTTTTATTTTCGTTAAAAGAGAAGCAAACTTTTATTTTGAGAAATAGATTCTAGTTCGTCCCCCTGTTTTCCTTATGCCTAGTAAATCGATGTTAAGTTTCTTTATTTCTAAGATCGTATTGGCTAGTTTTCCGCTATTTTATAAATTTCTACTATTCTACAAGTATGTTCCATTGTTTAAAGTTTGTTTGGTTTTACCTCTGGTGATTCTTAACACCCTTGATTTGCGTTGACTGAGGACCAATCCAACGTTGTTACGCCATTTTTACATGATATGCTGGGAAACATACTTCAACGGTTTCCCCTTGCCTTTTGATAGGTTAAATGTTTATTGTCAGCATACACATTTATCTATACCATATACTTGTATTGCGAACCGCTTTATGCAACAGCAAATGTCCATTTTCAGCCGACTGTTTAGTAAAAGTCCTGGACTGCCACTAGCGCCTTTGAGTACCTTTATCTACCGCCCTGTCATCACGTCAATATTGTAATCACCCGGGGTGGTGCCATACTATGGCTCACCTAAATTTAGTATACCACCACCGATCCCTAATTTAAACGTTATTGAGCACGTTTTGGGGTAATCATACCATTAAAACCGCGAAAAAGCTAAAACAGGAGTGGCAATTATAGCATCTGATAAAAATGTAGTACAAGCTGTAGATCCATTGTTGATGGTTGGCCAACATAATACTATTTTTTTTAAGTGCCCTATTGATCGTTTTTCTAATAAAATGATAGGCATATGTTATACTTTTGTTAGTTTTTTTGTGAATTGTTATTTGCAGCGTTAGTGAATTCCTTATTATTGTTGCACTTAATAAGATATCAAAAACATGGATAGTACGTATACGTTTTCGTTCACTTTTTATTAATTTGGCTAAGCCACAACTTAAATATTTTTTATTTGATAGTATCGTTATCAAAGCCCAGGCCATGCGCGCTTACCTTTACGCTGACGCTGCCAATCTTAGATTTCGTCTAGGGTTAGATTTGGTTTGAGTTTTAGTTCCAAAAGTGTCAACAAATAAACAAGACGTATTATCGTAAAATAGTGTCACACTGTGTAATTTATGGTGTACTAGTATACATTATACTATCTCCTAAGTTTTCTTCTAGTTATCACAAACTTTGTCGCAAACTGAATATAACCCGTTCAGGCTATACCTACGTATTATATATAATAAGATTAATATTAAATTTAATGTTAACTTTACTCTCAAATGTGGCATGAAAACCCAAAATGAAAAAAACAAGTTACAAATACCTACTTATCTCGAATTCAAGTTTTCTCTTTTAATTAGGGAAATAACGTTTTAAACTTTAGAATTTTATACATACATGCATATCCCTTTTTTATTTATTTCAATAGTAATAATTTTTTTTACTTTTTTTAAGGAACAAACAGAAAAAATGATGGGACAAGTGGCAACAATTGGATCTAATATTAATAATCAGTTTTCAAAGCAACCTGAAGTTATATCGCATTTATCACTCACCATAAGAAGAGATCTTCCGGTTCGAGCCTATTTGGTAAGCCAAACCAATTACATTTTGAACACAATGATTTTAGAATTTATAAGTTTCATAGAAAAAATATTCAAAAGCCTAGAACTATTTTCATATTTAAAATTTCTTGAAACCACTTTTGCAATATCATTGAAATATCATTTTATAGAATAGAGCCCTCTATCCAAATAAATAAATATCCGCAAAAAAGAGATTTAGAAATTATGTCTAAACATCTAAAATTTTAACCGTTTGTATAAATACCTCGTGAAAATTAGTATATGTGCATACGTGTTTTATTTTTGTTATATCATAACAAGTTAAAAAATATTTTAAAACAAGTAAGGAAATACTAAGTTTAGATGAAACCGAACATTTCATATTCTTGAAACTTGCAAGGATCAAAGACCGGGAAAAATCTTCAGGTGTTGGCAAAACTTTATGTTAAAAATTATGCGAAAGAGTTCCACATTCATTGTTCGACGAAATCGTGAATGGATTGCAATCAAATGTGTGTCTTATTAACTTATATTCTAAGTCATAGACTAAATTAGTTTTAAATCTATATAGAGTATATTGAGAGCAGAAAAGGTTTGGGCTGATTGCACGAGCTTTCATTATTACATTATTTGACATAGGTTTGTTAGATTAATGAAAATCATTATATGTGGTATACGGGAGTTTGGGTAATTCGTGAATCAATTTTACATACATATTTTCGGTATTAAACTATAGTAAATCGAATATAACACATTCAGTTAATTTTGCTAAGATATCTTACATATTGACCAATATAGGTATAAGTATTACACATTATTAACAGAAAATGATGCTCTCTGAGTTTCATTAAGGTACCTTTCACATACCAAAACCAATATACATGCGACACAAAGTCAATAACGATGCCAGCCACGGCTAACCACTTTTCTCTGAAATTTCAACCCAATTACACATTTTTTCTTTAATCACCAACACCAAAGCACACTTATGGGATATTTTTATTTTTTAACCAATTTCGAGATTTCCAAACAAACAAAACTTGAAATCACATTTCATGATCTTATTGAATAAGTGCGAATGAGGAAACACATATGTCATTAGTTCCAATAAAAAATTCCAAAAAGGGAAAATAAAATGGAAAATGTCAAAAGAAAAAATCATTTGCTTTTAAAAGGAAGACAAAATTTTGTGTAATTTTATAAATTTCTAGCATAGCCATTAACGCAGATATGTATGGTGGATGTCTGTTTATTATAGCAAATTAAATAACTTAAATAATAGATATGTTTTTGGTAAAAATGTATTTATTTCCAGGAATACAAACGTTTCAATCAAAATATGATGAATTTCTATATATGCTCCGGTCAAGATTCTTTAACGATAGCTTGTCGTTGTGAAAATTTAGAGAAAATTGTAATGTTATTTTGTATATTTTACTTTATCGTTGTTAAGCGTCTAGCAATATTTTAATTTGTTGTGCATTATTCATCAGTTGCGCATTATACAATTTGATTTGTATTTAAAGGGAATCACTTATTTGCTGCATCATAAATGGGAACTCATTCACAAACAAATGAAATCCAGCCCAAGGTTGAATTTCAGTGACATATGGTATAATTAAGCGAATTTGTTTATATTATGTTTGGTATTATATATAGCTTTAACAGTTTATACCTATTTCGTTTCCGAATATACCTATATGATATAGTGAGGAAAAACGTAATAATCAGTTTAGGTTAACTTAACATTTGTAATTAACCGTAAAAGTATGTAAAATAAAATATATGTAAAAAATAATAATTTCAAATTTAAAAATGTTGTTTGAAATTTTAAGAATATTTTAAATTAGGAATCCGAAAATTCAAACCTGCGACGGCTGATGATCAGGGAAATTAGAGCAATTAAGCTATACAAGTATGTTCTTTGTATGACACTGCTAAATGAGTATGTTCTTTGTATGACACTGCTAAATGAGTGCAACCGAGATGCCTGCTCATACGTATACGTACGTGCAAAGCCAAAGTGGTAAAGATTGTCATGCCGCCTATGGCGAGTTCACCAGTTTTTTCACCAGTTTCGAAGGTTTGAAAACCTAGCGTTTCACTAGTTTTTTAACCACTTTTTTAACATACAGTCATGATACAGTCATACAGAAAAAGATTATTTCTGAATTTCTATAATATGTCTCACAGATTGAACGATATTTTAAATAAAAAGTTCGCAATAGGAAGTAGAGGCTATATATTCGGTATCATTTAAAATGGTATTATATGGGAATTAGGCGTGGTTGTAATTCGATTTCGCCTATTTTCACACTATAACATAGAAATATATGAAGAATGTTATGTACCAAATATGGGTATTCCTATAAAGTCATCTCATACCAGCCTAGATATAAAATTTAATGTCTCTGGCGTGTTTAGTGCTTGATTTATCGCGCTTTTCGTAGTTTTTAACAGATCCGTTATAAAAGGATGCCCCTCCCTAATGTGATCCTGTATACCAAATAACAGTCTTGTATCTTATTGTGGAGCTTAGTTATGGCAATTTATTTATTTTTGATTAATGGCGTTATGTAGGTGGGACAGGTACCGTCTTACGATACGGGTCTTACTTACATGTGTACCAAGTTTCATAAAGATATATAAATTTTTACTCAAATTACAGCTTGCACAGACGGAACGCTATCCACTTAATTTCGTTAAAATATCACATTTTGATCAACCGGAATGGTTTAAAGTCAGGTGGAAAGCCGGAAATCATATATATATTGGGGATATAGAAAGATATTAATTTTGACATTGCTCAGCTATACTCGAGAACATATTTTGAAGCAATTTTATATATAAAAAAAATATTAATACTCACTGACCGACATATTCAGCATAAAACTGGTTAGAATAACGAAAAGTAGTATAAGTAGTATATGGAAGTTGAGGGTAGTATTAACCCAATTTTAATAATTTTTGCCAATACCACATACTATTAAGATGCCACAGACAAATAAAATGCTCCCACTGTTTCATTAAGGTACCTCACATATCATCATCAATTATGTGGAGTAAAGTCAGACGAATGTTCCTCATGGGTGCTAAGTAAAATTTTCACCCGATTTAATCCATTTTAGGCACAGACCTTGTTAAGATTAATACACACGCTCTCATTTTCATTGAGATAACTCACAAATTGGCCGATATATGCGGTATGAAGTCACGCGGAAGTTTAAAAATCTTTATATTAGATATATGAGGGTTATAGGAAGTATTGATCCGATTCAACTCATTTTTGACATACAGAATAATATTATCAGGAAATACTAATCTAGTCTAATTTCGATACAACAAGTTGCGAGAGTATAATCAGAGTGATAATATTCTCAGCTCAATGAAGATCTCTGTTTTTCCTCCACCAGCGGTAAGAGTCTAAAGATTCTTTATTGAGTTTATTCACTCTGGCTGTCCGTCCGTCTTTCTGTGCACCCGATAACTTGAGTAAAAATTAAGATATTTTAATGAAACTTGGTACACGTGTTTCTTGGAAAAAAAGTGAGAACGAGTTCGTATATGGGCGTAATCGCACCACGCCCACAAAACGCTATTAATTGAAAATCTATAATATGCCATAACTGTATATACAATTATTGAAAAAATGGGAGTTGCCCCGCCCGTTAATATGTTTAATATACCTAAACCGCTAAAGCTACAATAACCAAATTCGCTAAGGACAAATCCTATAAAAACTCCACCGATAGTGTGAAAATGGATGAAATTTGATTATAACCCTGTCCTCTTTTCATATAACAGATTTGTTCAAAGCTACTAAAAGTGCGATAAATTAATAACTAAATGCGCGAGAGAAATTTTACACCCGAGATGGTACGTCACCATTTCCATATTACAGTGCGTAAAACTGGCGATATTAAACAAAAAACCACGCATACTTCCCATATATCACTTGAAACTAGTTATGGTTACAAGCGGTAAAATATAAATTTAAATACGAGGTAAATCATTTGTCGTTAATTTTACCCATAAAAAATATGTCATCCTAATTAGGCTGATTACTCGGTTTTACCCGATCGAATCACCTGCTTACTTACCCGATTAATGTCGAATTACCCGAAAAATGAGTAATTACCCGGACATTGGCAACACTGTTATATATACAAGTATATAAATGATATGGATGACGAGACGAGTTGAAATCTGTGTGACTGTCTGTTCGTTTGTCTGTCTATCCGTGTGAGCTGTAACTTATGTAACAATTAAGATATCTTGATGAAACTTGGTACACTTGTTCCCTGGCACCATTGGTATTGTAAATGGGCGTAATCGGACTACTGCCATGCCCACAAAACGCCATTAATCGAAAAAATATAAAATGCCTTTACTAAGCACAACCCCCTATATACCGAGGATGTGTCAAAAATGTCAGAATGAGTTGAATCGGGTCGAGTCAATAGCCCCATATACCTAATATAAACGTTTTCGAATTTCCGGTTGACTTTATGTTGCATATATCGACCAATAGGTAAATTACCTTAATAAAATTGAGTGGGCGTGTTTTCTAATAACGGCGCATATGTGTGATTATAAGGTATAAAATCGGCTGAAAACTTGCCCTAGCCCCCATATAACTAATCATATATGTTGGTGATGGTATGTGAGGTACCTTAATGAAACTCAAAGAGCATTTTATTCTGTTAAGAATATGTTGTCTTGTCAAGCATAGATCAAATCGGGTCAATACTATCTGTTCAAATATCTTTGAACACGCTTATTTTTTAGCATCGACAATGCCAAGGCAGTGAAAGATATACATATATACATAAAAACACAAAATGCATTCACATTCAAAACACATGCAATACGCATGCATTTCATTTAATAGTCGATAATAAACGCATATTGATTGAAGATAAGAACATGTACATGTTTATACAAGTATGTACACATTGTACCCAATTGGTTCTAAAAATACCTTTCGGCAATTGCTTGTGAGCATCGAAAACAACCCCTTACTTAACATACATATTCACATACACATACACATATAATTACTTAGTTATAATAGTTTAAAAAATTGTACCTAGCCTTCAAATATTAAATAAAAATCAAAATGCATCTCACTGCAATGTAAGTCTATTATTGCTCCGCACCAGGAGTAAGGAGTTTTAGAAACTACATACAGTAACATAAGATTTTCAATCTTCCTGTTGGGATTATGTCATTTATATCAGTCAATATGTAAGATATCTTAACAAAATTAAATGATTAATATTGGATATAATATAGTTTAACGCCGAAAATATGTATGTAAAATTGAGAGAGATCAAATGTTCGGTTACATCCGAACTTAGGCTTTCCTTACTTGTTTTATTTTTATTTTTTACACTCTGACAACATGCTGCTACAGTGTATTATAGTTCTCTTCACTTAACGTTTGTTTTTATTACCTAAAACTAATCGAGTTAGATAAAGGGTTAAATAGTATAAACTCGTATTTAAATGATTAGGATGCTGAGCTGAAGTTCGAGTGACACATGTACAAGTATATCTCCCAAACTACTCAAGCTTTATTCACCAATTTTGCTTATAATAAACTTTTTCAACTTTTTTACGACATTAACCAAATATGGCAGACATTAATACTTACTTCCAAGACGGTACGACAGAGCTTTATAACAATCAATATCAAAATTGGACAATGGGCGTGGCACAGCCTAAGTTTGCGGTCTAAAACTTGGAATACTCCAGATATTTTATCGTGCTGACTTAGAACAAGTTCCGGAGAAGAATCCTGATTTTCTGATCGAGGCAGGCAGTTCCGCATTACTTAAAATGGATCTGTTGACCGAAGACAAGTTTGGATACTGGGTGGTGTGTCAAACCAAAATAATAGTCAGTTACATACATGATCGTTTAGTTGATTTTAATAAAAATATTTCGTTCAAGTCAAAATAGGTAAAGAAACCAATTGAGTTCATGACCCATAATATATATAAGTCATTAAGATAACCAAATTGATTGTACAAGTAATACATTCGTTTTCTCGAATGATGCGGGTTGAATTCTTACAAATGACTTACTGTACACATCTTTCATACCGCTAAATCTAACTTAACCAACCACGCTGGGAAGAAGTCTGTCCCTTCTTCATACGCTGGGTAAAATCAGATAATAGACACGCCCACACCCCATAAAACCGTTATTTTGAAAACTACAAATTTTTTAATCCCATTAGATTCTTTCATTTCCAAAAAACAAATCAAGCACCTATGAATATATCGTGATAAAACATTGCACAAGTAGTGCCCTTAAAGTATTTATTCTTATGGTAAAAAATTGTCGAAATAGGGCTACAACTTTTCTAGGACCCAGATTAAAAATATCTGGACCCCATTGCATTTGGCCGATTTTTACCGAACATATCGGTGAATCTGTGAGCTCTAGTCTTGGTAGAGAATAATTTTGTCATGCAAGAATGCCTTATTGCCAAAAATGATTCAAAATGGGTGAATACTTTCCTTAGCCCCCATATACTAGATTTAAATATTTGCAAACTTCTGGTCGGCTTATGCCGCATCTATCGTCCAATATGTAAAAAGTCTTATTGAAATTCAGAAAGCATTTCTTTCTAATAACATAGTATCCTTTTGCCTGAGATTGTAAATAATGGATGCAATACTTCCTACTTTTAATTAGAATATATACGGAAATCCCATATTTCACTTTACCTTGCGAAAGTAGGTATAAAATGTGCGGTTTCACATTTTTTAAATTTATTTTGAATGGCTTTTTGCGAGGAATGTCATATTGCTATTTTTTTAGCCCAGGAATATCGTATATGAAAATGAGTTAAATCGAATAACGGTAACTCATTAAAAACAAGTAAGAAAGACTAAGATCGTGTGTCATCAAAATTTCATACTTTCTTCTAGTTTTGGCACAACTTTTTATCGAACTAAGGGAAGTATCTCTGTGCTTTCATTCATTTAAAGAAAGAGGTTACACTGTTATTAGAAAAAGATAATTTCATTAAGATTTATTATGCATTGACCGATAGATGCGGTATAAAGTGAACCGGATGTTCCGAATGTTAGGTATATAGAGGCTAAGTTAAGTGTTGACCTGCTTCTACCCAATTTTGGCACAAGTTATAGCACGATTTCGACAATTTTTAAATGTAAGATGAAATACCTTGAGAGCACTATTTGTGCAAAGTTTTATTCTGGTAACATTATTGATGTTTGATTTGTATACTGTAAAGTGAATGAATCATACGGAATTTAAAAGTTTGTTAAATGGAAAGTCGGCGTGGTTGTCATCCGTTTTTGCTCATTTTAAAGTTTCAGAAACATCACACGCCGAATTTGGTTGACATTTTTTAGTAGCATCTAATATATATTAGCATTTTACCTAAAAGTGAACGACCGTTGTACAATACAATTTTTACATCTTTCCCTATAAAGTCCTTCCACACTCAGTAAGTTATCGCACTTTTAGTGGTCTTTAAAATAACCGATATGTGGGGAGTGGGGATTTTCATTCGATTTCATCCATTTTCACTGCGTATGAAGAGGTGCTAAAATCACTTATTCTCAGCAAGTTAAGTTGAAATATCTTAAGCGGCTTGGAATATATGGAGGACCATTAAGGAGGAGGGACCACGCCCACCTTTAAAAAATGTTTAGCGCACAGGTGTCCCTGGCTACTGCGATCTCTTGTACCAAATTACAGTGTTGCATCTTAGTTTACGGCTTAGTTATGGTATATTAAAAGTTTCCGTTTAATGGCGTCTTGTGGCAATGAACCGATTCAGCCCATTTGCATTACCAACCTCCCATGGATTCCAAGGAATATGTGTACCAAGTTTCATCAAGATATCTCAAGTTATTTACTCAAATTATCACTTGCACGGACAAATAATCATCCGGATTTCAACTCGTCTTGTCATCCTAATAATTTATATATATATATCTATATCTATCTCGATTCGTTTTAGATTATTATACTCTGTGGAAACATAATATGTTGTAAAAGTATAAAAATGTTGCGAAAGAATTAAACATCCATTATTCAATGAAATTCTGAATAAATTACAATCATATTTGGCATCGTTTAGACTTATATTTAAGCCATAAACTTAGTTTTATTGCTATATTTCAGTTTGCGGCAGCTAAACTTATATTAAAAACACCTTTAAATAAAATATATGTATGTGATATTAACTCGACCGAAAATACTAATTTTGATATATTGAGTTAATGAGGAAAACGGGAACCAAAGGGTCGGAATTCCTTTTATTATATTAGGGATATGAGGTTTAGATCAAGTCCATTCTAATTCAATTTATTTCATTAAAATATTACAACAAGCACAACACTCTCTCATTTTCATTGAGATAACTCACATATCGACCGATATATGCGGTGTAAAGTGAAAAGTACACAATTTTTTATATTATGTATATGGGGGCTAGGGAAGTATTGACCCGATTCAAACCATTTTTGACATACAGAAATGCTATTATCAGGAATATTACTCTATGGATTTTAATTAACCTCACGTTGACCGATATTTTCGAAAAAAAGTCAACTATAGATACTGGGGTCCGCATAATCAGTTTTAACTTTGTTGTAATACTCAAAATGTGTAATATTGTAATGAAATTAAATGGAATTGTTTTATTATGAGGTGGGAATGCAGTTTGAACTACGCGAGCACGACCACTTCTATTATTGTCATCAACTATAGACCTTTGGGAAAAACGATCAATAGTACGGTAAATAAACATCTTCGAAATATTAAATTTTTTAAGAATCTCACTTCTCGCTACTTCTAAATTACATATAATAAAAAATAATGACACTTTTTTCTGCGAATTCGTCTTCGCTGTGTGCATTGTAAACTTTGTAACAGAATTTATGGCAAGACTAAATATATAAGTACTTGATTAATTTTTTCGTAAAATTTCATAATATGTATAAAGCTTTGTCAACACCCAGCCTTTGAAGCTCGCAAATTGCGAAAGTACAAAATGTTCGGTTACACTCGAACTCAGACATTCCTTGTTTGTTTAATTAACAGTTTTACTATTGCCTGAAAATATTTCCCCGCTTTGATCCCTACTCATTGCGAGAGTGTGATATGTTCGTTTAGACCCGAATTTAGCACTTTCTTACTTGTTTTTATATATTTTTATTTCTTTTACAGAGTTCATCACAAAATGCGTACTTAAACAATATAAATCAATCCAGTTTACCAAAACACATTCAAAATGAAATGTTTTCTGGATATAATTCATTAGTCATCGGAATGAATACCAAACAATCACATGTATCAATGCAGCAATTTTTGAGCAGATCGACGAAGTCAGTGTCACTTGCACCAGAATCCACATCAAAAATCTTTTCTGCAGTCAATTTAAATAATTTGGAGCAATCAATTCCAGATCCCGGTAAACGATATGAATGCAATTCTTACGAACAAGCAAGCCGAAGATATAAACAAAATAATTTACGGGCGAAATATCAAATTAATACCAGCATTTCAGACGACGAGATATCAGCTCAAACTCCCCTAATGTCTAAGCGAGAGAGTACTGTATGACTATAAATTATATGCAGGGTATATAAGACAGCCCTGTAATGAAAGTATATAAATAACAATTACATAATCAAAATGTTCAAAAATTTCTTTAGATCTCAAATTTTAGCTGTGGTGTTAAGCAAATAATAAATTCTAAAAAATCGTTATATTAGCGCTTTGGAAAATTTTATGTATCAAAAATATATTTAAAGCTTTTTAATGAATGGCGCATTTAAGAGAAATTGGTATTGCAATTATTACGACTGCTAAGTAAAGTATTTTTGAGAGGGGTTTTTACAGTATGGTTTGTTTTGGTCAAAGTGTGCTCATCAGCCGCCTCAGGAAATTATTACGACTGCTAAGTAAAGTATTTTTGAAAGGGGTTTTTACAGTATGGTTTGTTTTGGTTAAAGTGTGCTCATCAGCCGTCTCAGCAGATAAACCTTCGAGTTATCTAACGGCGTCAAAGGGTAAGGCAACCAAACTTGAGTACTAAATATATTCAAAGTAAAATTACGACTTGAAATTGCATAATGTGAACTGCATAATTTTTTCTTTTAATTTATCTTTTGTTCTATTTTTATACTCTAACAACATGTTGCTACAGAATATAATATTTTGGTTCAGCTAACGGCCATTTGTATCATCTAAAGCACGGTGTTTGTTGCCAAACTACTTTGAAACGACTGAACCGATTTTGATAAAAATTGGTGTGTTTATCGAGTGTGTCTGAAAATCGGCCAACATTCATTTTTCATATTCCTAAATGTTAACGGCGTCCACCCCAATATTTTAAAAAAAAAATTTTTGACAACATTTTTATGTTTTTATTTTTTTATGACTCAGCATTAAAAAATACATGCAATTCTAAATTTTCACCCTAATACGATCATCATATAGGGATGAAAAGAAACCGGCTCCCGGTTTTTCTCTTTCTATACAGTTTTCATACATTTTTATACTCCCGCAACATGAGTACAATAGTTTTGTTCACCTGACGGTTGTTTGTATCACCTAAAACTAAACGAAATAGATATTGATATCGATTTATATAAACATATATAAAAATTATCAGGATGACAAGATGAGTTGACAAAACTTGGTACACATGTTCTTTAGTACTCAAGAGATATTGGTATTGCAGAGGTCATAGAGACGCCCATATAACGTTATTAAAAATTTTTTTAATTTTTTTAAAGTGGGCAAAAGCATTAAATTTCACAACCAATTTGGTAAGAAAAGGCTTTATAGGGATATGTATAAATTGTACAACGGACGTGGTATCGCCCACCTTTAAGTGAAATACTATATCTCAGGTATAATAAAAAATTTCAACCAAATTCGGCGTGTGCTGTTTCTGAAACATGGAAATGAGCGAAAACGGATTAAATTCCATCTGATTCCTTTAATTTACAGTAATCAAATCAAACATCAATAAAGTTATCAGAATAAAACTTTGCACAAATATCGCCCTCTTGGTCTTTCATCTTACGCCCAAAAATAAATAAAATCAGACCATAACCCGTCAAAAACGGGTAAATCAGACTAATACCTCCGTTACCTCTCATATACATAATATTAGCGAACTTCCGGTTGACTTTAGCCGCATCTATTGATTAATATGTAAGTAAACTTAATGAAATTCATAAAGAATATTTTTCTAATAACATGGTATCTTCTTGCCTAAAATGGAATTGAATGAAATAAGAATTTCAAACTCTCGGTTGGCTTTATATCGAATATATTTATATCCATCAATATTAAGTGAAATCGACAAATTGCGATCTTCAGACACACTTGCCTAAATGGCAGTAATATTTTTATTACATCTAGCGGTTTTTGTCTTATTGGCACTTGAACATTATGTAAAGAAAATGTACGTTCGAAATTTTCAACAATTCGACGAATAGTGACGTTGTTCGTTGTTCTTGCCTATATCTTTCCATGATAAAATTGTAAACATTTCTGAATGCAATGAAAAAAAATTACAAATCATGACATATTATCCCTATTAGATTACCCTATATATCGCGAAAACGACTAAAACGTATTTTTCACGAACAAAACAACTTTCGATAGTGCTAAAAATTCACCAAAACTACACTTGCCGAATTTTTTGAATTTTTGTAATCATACGGATGCTTTTGGTGCCTCTGCACAAACAGTGCTCTATTCAGCAGAACCACACTATATTACATGGGTTCAATCTTAAAAATTGATGCCCAGCAAGCAACGCATACCAGTTGATGCATGCTCCGGTTTATTTAAAGCAAATACTCCGGGTCGTGTATATACAGCTAATCTAAGGCAGACTAAGTGCTTTTATCTGCGACTGTTGGTTAATGACAACAGACTATTGTTAAATCAAGATACATACATACGTAAACTAAATGAACAACGGTATTCAACGTATGAAGATGCATGCCTTGAACTAAGCTTGCTAGAAGATAACATTCATTGGGACAGTATACTTTCTGAAGAAGCATTTAACTGCACGGGATACTACTATTTGTAGTACTGACAACATGTTTCCCGTCCCGATCACAAATGTTGTGGGATAATCACAAAGATTCGATGGTTGGACTTTTATTAGACATATGGGAGATAGGTGAAATATTGACCAAATTGTACCTATTTTTGACATTACCACATATTATTAACAGAAATAGATGCTCTTTGAGTTGCATTAAGGTACCTCACATCCGATGTTTGAAAATCCTGATATTAGTTAAATGGAGTCTAGGACAAGTTTTCACCCGATTTTATCCATTTTAGGCACAAAGATGCACTGTATTGGGTATATGGGGACTAAGGGAATTATTGATCCGATTCAATCCAAATTTGACACGCAATAGGGACTGGGGTCCACATATTCGGTACCTAGAAGATTGAATAGTTTCGGTTCGATTTGGACAAATTTTAGCCATCAGGTGGCATACCTTAAGGGCGTTACTCAAGAAAAGAATTTGTATACTGGAAAGTGAAAGAATCAGACGGAATTAAATTGTCATATACTTGTATGTGAAGTACTTGTAGGCGTGCTTGTGGTCAATATATCAATAATATTAAAGTAAAGTTACCTACTGAATTTAGTTAAAATAGGTTCAGTAGATCCCGAGGTATGGGTTTTCCCCTAAAAGTGGACGGTGCCATGCCCATTGTACAATTTTTATATTGCCTCCTGTAATGCCTAATAATATCATCCTTTGAGTAAGCGTCTCTGACTTATTTCTTTAATGAGGTGTCGTACTTTTAATAGTTTTAATCAAAACCGTTATATGGGGAGTGGGCGGGGTTTTCATTCGATTTCACCAATTTTGACACTGTCGGTAGGGACGCTAAAAATATTTTCCCTGTGTATTTGGTTATTATGACTTTTGTGGTTTAGGAGATATATACCTACATTAAACATGTTAGAGGGCGGAGCCACTTACCGTTTTTCAATGTTTTTAACTCACAGGTGCCCCTTGATACTGCGACCTCTGTGCCAAATTAAAATTTTATATCTTAATTAAGTGATTAGTTATGACATTTTATATGTTTTTGAATAAAGGCGTTTTGTGGCTGTGGCAGTAGTCGGATTACGCCCATGGAATTTGTCTTCACTTTTTTGCTAAGAAACGTGTACCAAGTTCCAATGATCATTTATGTATATATCTATTTCTAACCCGATTAGGTTTAGGTGATACAATCAACTTTTAGGTGAAGTAAACTACTTGTAGTATACTCTGTAGCAGCATGTTGCAAGAGTATAAAAACTAATTGCTAATTTTTTGACATCTTATTCCAAGAAAGGTTTATTTATGGCGACTGCATTCATGCTTCTCTTTCCGGTCTACTTTTTCAAACATCTGTTTTAATGTTCGCCGCCAGCAATAAGCCTTAAAATTGAATAAAACGCCATGGTACATTGGTTAGATTAATGTATGTATGGTTGCATGCGGATACACAATTTTGGAGAATGAAGAAGAAAACGGCGTAAAGGGGGGTCTTATTGTATTACAAAATCAAATTAATATGGACGTATTAAAAATACTGTTCTTTTTGTGTTAAAATTTTTTTTCAAAAAGAAATCTTATTTATAGAAATGTATTGGAATTGGATTAATTTCGGCACTCTCCACTACATTTTGGAAGATTGTTGGACTAAATTTGGCAAAATTAAAAATTATCAAATACCATCTCTGATACAAAGTACGCTCTTCAAGGTATTAATTGGGTGGTTTATGAAAATCAGCTTCAAATCCCACTTCCAAAAAGTAGCGGGAAACTGTAAGTTTCACCACATTAATAATTCGATTTGAAGCTGTTATTAATTCACAGAAACTCACAATTCTCAGGCAAGATCCCTCAGATTTTACATCCCTAACTCCAGGACACTTTCTTAAAGGAGCACAAATTCTGTCAATGTCTGAGCCACACATGGAGTCGCTACTATCATTAAACCGATGGAAAAAAATTAAAATTCTTCATCGTGATTTCAAATGAAGAAAGAGTATATAAAATATATTCATAAAAAGTACAGATGGAAACTCCAAAAAAAGCGCCAAAGCCTGGAGACTGCCTACCACCTACCGAATGGTGGCTTGGCCATCATGAGCTATCAAAAATCAAATAGGATTGCACAGAAGCGGAGGTCCCTTTTCATTTTGGCTCTCGAACTGACAACACAGCTCACATCGCAACATCTTTTTCATCGGGATAAATATTGAAAATTTAAATTCACAACTATTGCAATTACAGTGGGATAAAAAGTCGGTTTCCGCAAAATTAAATACTTTTGCGTTTTTGTATTCTGCTTAAAGGTTAGGTGCGCGGGTATGTGGTGACTGCTCAGTAAACAAATTAAATACAATAACTAAAGCAAATGTCTATATTCATCTTACTAGTGCAGGGAAAGTACTTATATACCCATATCAATAATTCGTTTTACCGAATGGTATAATGCTTATTAATATATTTTCCCTTAATTTATTTAAGATGTTTTCTACTTATATATTGTACATATATTAAATAGTAGAAACTGAAATAAAGGGACAAATTGTGGTTTCGACCGATTTCAATCATACTAAGTTTATGGATAAAGAAACGCCTAATTAAATAATTGGGTAAATACTTAATTTCATTAAAATATCGCACATATTGACCTAAGGAGGCATTCTAGTCTAGAAATAAAAAAAAATCGATATTTTCTTGTATTCTTGTAATTCTAATATATTACTAATAAAATATGGATGGTAAAAATATTAATTGCCTTTTTTTACGACGCTTTAAAATTTACCTGTATAATTATCAATCGACTACATCGATATTCACACCATATGAGAAGCTTCTTCTTAGCAATTTTGGTTCATTTAGCTATATTGGCTTGTGAGATAAGTACTTTTAACCCATAGAGGCCCTTCAGTAAAGTCTCAAATTACATTTTTGTATCTTAATTTGTGGCTTAGTGTAAACTCATTATAAGTTTTCGCTTGAGAGCTTTTTGAAGGCGTGACTATGGTCGAACAGACAATCACCCGTTTCGACTCTAACACGTCTCGTCATCCTGACCTGATCATATATATAAACATACATATATATATTTGTAATTTATAGGTATTATAAACAACAGTTGGGTGGAAAAAACTAGTATACTCTGTTGCAACGTGTTGCGAGAGTATAATATTATTTTCATTAAAGATATTTACTATACTCAAACTCCAAAATTCAGTTTTCTGCTTTCTGCACACGACAACAAGGGTTGATAACAGAGTTCTACAAAAATATTTTTTATTTGGTTTCTCTGGATAACTTAGCACGTTTTGATGCTTTCAAGTGTCCAGATTACGTCCTTATTCAAGAAAATATTGAATGTGCTCTTGTTTTCTTTCCCGACTAGGAAATTAAAAAAGAGAAGCTCATCAAAGGCGTTAAACTTGGTGTACTTAGCGGGTAGGTCTGAGAATATGCTACATCTATTTCTTATACCCCTAAATGTTAGGAGTGGTCTACCCCATATATTACATTTTTTTCTTTTTTGGACAAATTTTTTTGGTTTTTTTTACACAATTCATCATTAAATAAATTAGCTTCTACAATAAATGTTCACCCTTAAACGATCAACCCTGATTTTTAATCTCAATTTTTATATTATTCGGTTCCATCCACTGATGCACAAGATGGCAATAGAATATAATAACTGTATTGTAGTATACTATAATTCGCATGTATGGTGTTATTAATCAATCAGTTATCACCGCCAGGTATCTCCCGTTGTCATTTCTGAACCAGCCAACATTACGGAGTAGAGTTTGTGTTTCGATCCTAGCAGTTACTGTTATACGTTTCATTTTAATTTTTACTGCATTTCTCAAGTTAATTTTATTCTCCTAGTGAATTTAACATTATTTCTTAGTGCAAAAAATATCGATATCGCAAACATACACTTTTAATACTTATATTAATGTTAAGTTCTGCAGTTCGGCGAAGAGCATCAAATATATTTGTAGGTATGTGATTAAAGGAAGTGAATTTAGAATTGAAAATATTAATATATAAGCTCCTCAAATAAATGAAATGTAATAACAAATTGGCCGCTTTATTAGCTCCAATTAAGCTGCCTGGTGTATGTTGGGTTTCCAAATTCATAAACAGAATTCATCAATTATCCATTTAGTTGTGCATCTCTAAAAAGGCCAACACGTTTTTTTCACGAACGAGATCGTGCTATAATAATTGTGCATATACAGCTAATCCAAGGCAGGCTATGTGCTTTTATCTGCAACCTTTGTTGGTTAATGTCACCGTACCATTGTCATTTCAAGATATACGCAAAGAAATAGACAACAGTGTCCAACGTATAAAGATGCGTATCTTGTACTAGGATTGCTTGAAGATGGGGACAGTATTCTTGCTGCAGTTCCATTAAATTGCACAGAAACACAAAGTCGTCTGCTATTGCACTGAAGACATGTTTCCCGATCCGAGTACAAATGTTGTGGGACAATCATAAAGATTTGATGACTGATGATATATTTTATCGACATCGTACAAGGTGCAACGATCCAACGATGTCATTCAGTGACGCAATGTACAACGAAGAATTTATTACTACTGAGTATCATTGCGTTGTAATTGCAAATTCACCAATTAGCCATTTCAGTTAGAGTTCACCAAATCGGAGTTCATCTGATTTAATCAACGCAGATATAAATGGTGAAACGCAGTTTGGTACTGTCTAATTGGCAGCGACTAAATGATGAACAAAAAGTAACTTACGGCCGCATAATGCTGGCAGTTTCGGCAGGGCAAGGTTGATTTTTTTTGGACGCAAAAGGTGGAGCTGGAAAAACATTATTTATTTCAAAACTTCTTGCTGAAATACGATCAAAAATGGTATCGCATTGGCCATTACATCATGTGGCATTGCAAAAACTTTATTAGATGGAGGCTCATTCAGCATTTAAGCTGCCATTAAACTTTCAAAATAACCCATATTCAGTGCGTCACATACAAAATCAATCGTTTTTGACCACAGTGCTGAAACAGTATACAATTTTTATTCATATTTACATCTAAAATGGCAGTATGGCACACAAACTTTCACATGAGGCAGTGGATAGGATATTAAATCATACATAAAATATTAAATATTAAATATATTATAATACAATAATATTAAATCATCATAAAAAACAACGGCATACTATTTGGCGCCACTCTATGACTCCTTTTGGGTGATTTCAGACAGACACTTCCCGTTATCCCACATTCAACGCACGCAGATTCATCTGCAAAAACTTTCGCAAAACAACTGTTGAGTATTGGCGATGGAAAAGTTGATGTACATGAAAATACTGGGTGCAAAAACTGACGTATTTCTGCACAATCATCAACCATTCTCATAGACAATATATTTCCCAAAATAGAAAAATCTTTAGTGGCCGGCAGAAAGAGCGATTATGGCAGCAAAAAGTTTGGACGTCAATGGATTAAATTTAAAGATTCGACAGTTGTTGCCAGGGATCTTGGTGTCATACAAATTTATCGATGTTGTTTGCGACGCCAACGAAGCTGTGAATTATCCGATTTAATAATTTTTGAATACATCACATATGCCGAGCATGCTACTGCACCATTTACAACTGAAGGTTGGATCTCCGGTTATTTTGCTACGTATTTTAACCTACCACGGCTTAGCAACATCACAAGTTTAGTCATTAAAAACTTAATAAAAAACATTAATTGAAGCCACCATTTTGAATGGTAAGTACCGAGGCGAAAATGTATTACTGCGACGAGTTCCTATGATTCTTACAGATGTGTCAATTGAATTCAAACGCTCCCAATTTTTTGTTAGATTGGTATTCGCAAGGACGATCAATAACTCCCAAGCCCAATATTTTCCCACGTACAACTTTATGTGGCATGTTCTCACGCGGACAAAGCATCCAGTTTATTTGCCAAAGATGGGCTGACCAAAAATATTGTAAATTGTGTTGAGAGATTAATATTTGTTTATTTTTAATTGCCATCATTAGTAGTAGAAATATGAAATATGAACTATTTTCAATGTACTCGTATATATGTATATGTAGCTATCGATAATTGTAATGATGATTAAATAAATAAATTAATTCATTAATAAAAAAATAATTTTTTAGCTTAAATAAAGTATACTTTAGTTCTCTTGATCCCCCACACACTTATTGTGTTAGTTGTTTCTAAAAATAACGTTAATGGCAAAACAGCGTTTGTCGGGTTAGCAAGTGTATAATATGTATATAATTCTGTTAATGTGTTTATACACATATGTATGTAAATGTTAATTTACTGTACCATAACACAAAATAACAAAATAAAGTTAGAAAATGTTCAAAAATATAAAATGGAAGAATGAAACTATAATATATAATTATGTAAATTCATAATAAAATTATTTTAGGAATAAGATCATTCAGTTTACACAAATGGCTAACCAAATATGTAATCAATAACCAGTTTTCTGTGCCCAAATGATAACAAATTAGGGAACAACAAATTTTCTGTAGCAGATGGCTAACCGATGAAGTAACGAATGCAATAGTATTTGTAAATTTAAGAATAATAGATGGTTTTGCAAAATTTATCAGCAAAATATGATAAAAAAGTAGATAGCCGTTCAAAAAACGTTTATTGTTCGGGTTGTTTTATTTTAAAACACATTAAAGTTTTGTTTCTAATTATTTGTTAGAAAGAAATAATTCTACCCATCGTGGTAATGAAAAAGCCGCAGAATGTATATTTCTGGAATAATATTTCAATTTCATATTTTCTAATTCCGCTTCACTGAAATTGTGTAACGAGGTTTTGAAATTTGTATTCGAATCAAGACAACCAATCACAAAACCAATATGTCCACATGGATAAGATGGAATTGATGTATGAGCGTATGATACTATGGGGAAATGTTTTTTACATCCATCCATAGTCTTCTTAACATACGCACAGTTTAACCAGAAACTTCCTCCCTGGGAACACACGATGCCTCCTGGCCGCAACGCATTTTTCATAAGTTCATAGTAACTTTCTTGAAAGAGTGATTCTGCAGGGCCAACAGGATCTGAACTGTCTGTTATTATTACATCGAATTCATTGAAATGTTCTTTCATATATGTAAATCCATCTCCAATGGTAAGTTTAACTTTGGGGTTTTCAAATCCACACGCCATATGTGGTAAAAATTTTTTTGATAATTCAACTACTCTTTCATCAATTTCTACTTGATGAATTTCTTCAACTAATGGATGTTTCGCAACTTCTCGCGCAACACCTCCATCACCACCTCCGACAATAAGAACTTTTTTTGGAGTAGGATGACTATTTAACGGTAAAAATGATATCATTTCTTGGTAGGAAAACTCATCCCGGGTAGTGCACTGAATAATTCCATCCAAAACTAAACATGTTCCATACGTGGCACTGAAAGAAACAAAACAAAAGTATAGTTAAAACACTCGGCTCGTATTAGAACAAATCAATCTTTTTCGAGAGATTGAGTCATAAGTAAAAAAAGTATTTTCACCGACGTTAGTCTCAAAATTGGAAATTATAGTATGTAAGTCACAAAGAACGTAAAAATAGGGACGTAATCTACCTTTTCCTCTTACTTTAATGGTGTACAACATTTTCGGCGAAACTTATATGATTTTCTTATAAAAAAAAAAATATGTATATTTAGTAAAGTATTAGCCTGATTTATAAAAACTGATATCGTTCTGAAAGTGACGAAGTGCTTTTTTGCGTGTTTTTATATTATATATTTTTTATTAAAATTACTTTGAATTGTTATTTTGGTCATACTCATAATAAATAGCATGTTCGTTATAATCGTCTTTATCCAAATTTTCTAGTGCGATTTTTAGCCACAAATTTGGTGAGACTTTCGCTTTCAAAGAGGCTTCCATTAGGATATTCACATATCTAAAATAATTAGCATGAGTATGAGCCAAAGACTTTAGTAATAACTTTCTTTAATGGAGTTACTACCTTATATTTGGACCATTAAAAATACTACAATAGCAAATACATGGCCATGAAAAAACGCAGTAATTTTTCATATTATAAAATTAATGATGAACAATTAAGCAAGGAATAAGTTCGGATACAGATTATTTTCTACATGAAAATCATGTGAATGAAGAGAACAACGAGAAGGACCGAAGTGATTATGTTTTATAATATCTCATATACCAAGGTGAGGATTGAATATACAATATTAATGTTTAGCCCGAAAAAACATAGCTTCTAAGATGAAATTTTTTCTTTACGATATATTTGATAAATCAACAATAGAGGGAGAATTTATTACTATTAGGGGAGGGATCACGGCCACTCTTAAAACATTTTAAGCCCACAGATGTCCCTGGCTACTGCGGTCTGCTCTACTAAATTACCGTTTTGTATCTTAATTTAGTGTTTAGTTACTATATAATTCGTTTAATCTGTAATAACAACCTCCCTTGGGTACCCAGGAATATGTGTACAATATCTCAATTTTTATTTAAGTTATCGCTTGCATGGACAGACGGATGAACGGACAAACAATGTCTCGGAATTCAACTCGTCTTGTCAGCTTGATCATTTATATATACATGACTCCATGTCTATCTCAACTAGTTTTATGTGATAAAAACAACCGTTAGGTGAACAAAACTATTATTATACTCTGTATCAACATGTTGCAACATTTCGGCTTTCCTTTCTCATCAGACGACGGTGTACCTTTGATGTTTCTTTATTTGTGGATTAACATTCTCCTCTTCACTGATTTCGTCCCTAATTGAAAACGATGAATGTGTTGCTCGTTTTGTTGGCGGACGACCCATATGTTTCTTCTCCTTGATTTTTGGGTCCGGTGTTGGTGCGGCCGTTGATTTGTGTCTACCCCTAGCACTACGTCAATAACGTTTCTTATGAGTCATTTTCATTTGGATTCATTATCTATTGTTGCATCTATGACAACATAAGCAGCCGGTACTTTATTCTTGCTGCGTACAAATTGTTGTCTCAATTTACGCTCAGTATCTTCACACTCTGCCTTCAACTGCAAAGCAATGTTATCAATGTGAAATGAACCAAAGAAATCACGTATAAAAATAACAACAACAATTGTAAACTTGGAAACTAAGAAAAACAACTGAATCTACAAGTAAAAAGCGAGAGAGAAATCACAGGCACAAACAGCAACAACAAAAGACAACGCCAAGGAAAGAGAGCAGCAAAGATACATCGGAAAACGATTAGTATGCTTTTATTTCTACTTCTGTTAAAATATGATGATTTTTATTATTATTACCACTATGTATTTATAATAACTAAACTAAATTTTAATCGACTCAAAGCGGTTATAATATTAGGTGTACAGCCGCGAATTTTGACAGTAGATCACAACAAAATCATATTAAAAACGGACGGAATTTCGAACAGACATTAAATTATGGTAATACGGGGAGATACAACAATAATACTATATCCCCCGCTTATTTAATTCATCTGATCGGTCAAAACTATATTGCATACGAAATACAATACCTATAAATTTTCCATCTTAAAAATATGTGTTATTGAAAAAAATACACCTTTAATTTTCCCCGGTTAGTTGCACAAAAAAATCATCACCAATTAAAAAAAAAATTTGGTGAAGATATTTTGGATGATGCTAATGTTGAGGAGCAAGAGAAAGAAGGAGCCTTTTTTAGTTATCGAAGATTTAAAATACATTCATACAAGAACATATTATTATTTAGAAGACAAGTTTTTGTGTGAATTAGGCAATCTGGAATCGCATGTTATTTCACCTAGATTGAACAATATACAAAAAAAATAGTTCTTCAATTGACATTTTAAAAATGTAAGCAACGACTTTTAATATGTGAATGCAAGTGCTGCATATATACAATAACACGAATTATTTTTGTTCCTTAAGTTTATTTTGGTTTTTATAAACTATCTCTAAACATATAAGTGAATTGTCTTGTGTTTGTTCCTTATACTTTTCCGTTTTAATTAAAACTCAAGAAATACTTAAAGTGCACATATGCATTTTTTTAATTGGTTAGGAATCCTGTAATTGAACGAATTGTACAATTAAACGAGTATCGGTTATTTGTTTCCCCGGTTAATTGAACCAAAAATTGTGCAATTAGCTTTGCCTCACGTACTTTCGCTGATCATGAGATTCGTTATGCCACTATGAAAAAAGAAATGTTTGTTTGCTCGCAAATTTGTAATTCGAATCGATCACAAACATTTGACGTGGTTAAACAATCCCAAAAACCCTAACATGAAAATACGAGGTTATAAAATTTTTCTTAACGAGTACGATTTTGATATATTTAAAAGGTAAGGACATCACGGTTGCAGATAGTTTTAGCAGATACATAAAGAATGAGGATTGCAAAACTGCAGCGTATTTAATAATGAAATACTCAAAACGCTAACAGTGGAGAACAGGTAGACATGGTTCACGGACGGGACAGTTCACAGTGTACAAGAGGATAACTTGTCATAAATTACATCTTTATTACAGAAGAATAAGTTCACTATTACCAAAATCAAATCCATCTTAGTTATGGTCTTAATCAGATTTTGTTAAAACAGAAAAGTAAAATTTAAAAGAAATAATGCAAAAGTACTGCTAGAAAAGGGGTTATTGTGCATTTTTTGTGAGAACGACTAGCTTTTAATACTCAGAATTTTCCACCCAAATATTTAACATTGTATGTGTTAAAGGTAAAACTAACAGAAATTAATGGACAAAATAATACTAATTACATATAATAGAAAACGAAAACTAGAGGCATACAGGAAATATTTCGTGAATTGTAGAAAACATTTTTTTGTCCTAAACCATTTAAAGTAATAACCAAAGCCATTTATAATTGTTCACTTTGTAAAAGAGAAAAACACAACAGAAACCTAGTTAAACATTTTTATCAAATAATGGAAACTCTAAAGTATTTCAACGACGTAGTTCACACTTGCAACTTGCAAGAATCAAAGACCGGAAAATTCCTTCAGGTGCTGTCAAATCTTTATATTAAACAAGTAAGGAAAGCTACGTTCGGGTATAACCGAACATTTCATACTCTTACAACTTGTAATGATCAAAGCAGGGGAACTACCTTCGGTCTTGGCGAAACTCCATATTAAAAAATGTTGCGAAAGATTTCAAAATTCATTTTGTTTAATGTATATATGATGTGGAAAACGTTAATTTGCAATTCATTATATTAGAGATGTGAGGTTTAGACTAAGCTCTAATCCAATTCCATTCTAATTCAGCGCTTAACCTTATATAATTTTTAAGAAAACTTGGCTATTTAATTTCATTAAAATATTACATTTTGACCAACATGAACGGTTTAAAGTCAGGTGAAAAGATGGAAGTCATTATATTGGGAGAAGAGCAAGTCACAAGCTGATTGTATTAATTTGAACATTGCTCAAGTATACTTAAACAGATATTCAATCAATTTTTTAAATATATCGGGGTTCCAATAGGGATGAAATGGTTTCTTAGTGTCGTTTCGGCTATATTTAATCATGATCTGTAATCTATTTTTCATTGTTTTCAGTAATGTTTACAATTTCATCATGGAAAGATATACGCAAGAACAACGTTTACAAATTATTCAATTTTATTTTCAAAATAATCGTTCTCCATTTGTTAATGTCAATGGAGAGCGGTATAGATTGATACAGCTGGTTACAACAAGATGCCACACAGCACGTGCAACAACCGAATTATTGCGTAAAAAGTTTGGAGATTCGATAATTTCAAGAAATTGTGACATTGAATGGCCTCTAAGAAGTTCGGATTTAACATCATTAGACTACTTCTTGTGAGTTAAGTTGAAGTCATTCTTCACGGTTTGGAAGTCAATATTGAACGTGCTTTTCATGATATACGTCTTGATTTAGTGAAAAAAGTACCAAAAAATTGGGTTCATCGAAGTCGTTCCTGCAAAAAAAGTCGTGGAGGCCATTTGAATGATGTTGTATAACATAACTTAATTGTATCAATTGTGCTTTACATTAAATAAAAAACATTTGGATTCCCTTAACAATTAGTGTGTATATTTTGTTGAACAGTTTTGGTTCGATTTGGACAATTTTCAGTGATAACGTGGCGTACTTTAAAGGCACTATAAGTACAAAGTTTTATCTCGTTATATTAATCGGTGCTTGATTTGTATACTGGAAAGTGAAAGAATCAGATGAAATGTAAAATTGTATTATATAGGAAGTAGATGTGGTTGTAGTCCGATTTTGCCCATTTTCGTGCCGTAATGTAGAACCATTAGGATGGTGTTATGCATTGAATTTGTTTGAAATTAGGCGAGGTATGCCGGAGTTTTTGCATTTTGAACTTAAAAATATAAAGAAGAAATACATGTAAAAAAACTCAATTACCTATT